AGTATGAATGCGTCAGTGTTTTAACAATCTTATTATCTCCACTGTTGTGCCGTTTTTGACGCGCAGCTTTTTTGGTGATATTAGATGAGTAATAGCCCAACTAAAGAAGAAGAAAAACAACATGATTGTGGTTAACGGTTTGTGTCATTTTTGTCTTTCTCTCTCTCTGTGCCATTTCAGTCAGCGGTGTACTCCACAGTCAACAAAACAAACTGTGACGACGCTGTTAACGAGGAGGACAAAGAGCACGACTACAGCAGCATAGCGGAGATTAAAGGTCTGGTCCCGGCCTCCTCCTCCGGTGACCTCTACGCCACCGTTCGAGATATCTACAGCCAACCCGATGAGCCCGGCCCCGCCGACAGCACAGACCCAGGCTACGAAACCATCCGCATCCCAAAGACTAATAGCTCAGAGGATGAGCACCGAGCCGAGGGGTCAGACGTGGGCAAGGCGGAGCCCGACTATGAAAGCGTCGGAGAGCTGGGTCTGGGCCCAGAAATGTCCCGCCTTTAAGTCGTCGTCCCCGCTCCCCTCCTCATATCGCCTGGATGCATCTAACAGACTTCGCTGCAGTGCTTTAAGCTTGCTATCAAGGATGCTTTGGGCGCATGACTTGTGAACAGAAAACAGCTCGCCGCAGCATCCACCCAGCCGCGCAAGAGCATCCTCCTTACAGCCTGGGTACGGTTTATCATATCCAAACTTGACTCTTTTAGTTCATCAATCATGGTGAATGTCATCGGTACTGGTGGGCCTTAATAACACTTGATTGTGGAAGAAAAATATTCAATAGTTAAACTACCAAATAAATATCCAATCGCAACGCTCATGCAGCATTTTAATAGTTAGCTAATGACACTATCTAAGAAAAAGAAAAAAGTAATTCAGTGCCATAAAGTGATGGTGAAATTCATGCACTTACACACGTGAAGGTTATATTGTTTGTGTGCTCCCTCTGCAGCTGCTAGTCTTTCTAGTTTCTTCCGAGTGACTCAGTGTCATGTTTTATTGAGGTGTCAGGTGGTGTATTTTTAGGCTTTTTTCCTGTCAGGTCGGCAACACCTCCACTGTGCATTCTCCACAAGGAATTAGGTTTCTCCCACCCCTCTCAGTTTTGCTGCCAAACGGTTAGCAGAGACAGAGGTTGCATTCAGTAGATTTTTCACCATTTAACACAGCTGATGAATTCCCTGCCGCGCACACATGTCATTGCTCAGACTGCACGGCGCATATGTATGGGCTTAGCGTGTCGCAGGTTGACGCTAGTCATCTGTGGCGAGCCAAAAAAACGGAAAACGAGGAGTGAAGAGAGAAGGGAAGTGTCGCAACACGTTTTTAAAGCTTTTTTTTTGTTCTTTTAGAAGAGCTACAGTCAATGTCAAAGGGTTTTTTTTGTGAATTTCATATTTATTTGAAGACGATTATTGTTGTGTAATTGTGAAATGTTAAAGTATGTCTGTGAGAGAAAAAAGCGAATAGGCATTTATAAAAAAAATAAAATTTCTAGCGTTTTTACTGAGATACTAAATGAAAATGAGTTGCGAGGATTGTGGCAGTTAGGTACGTGTTCCCCCCAGAGCATTTAAAGAGTTCATTGTTTTTAAAAAAAACAACAAACAAATGAAAGAAAGAAAGAAAAATGAATGTGTCAGTGTATATTGTCATTTTGCACACTTTGGTCAAACAAGTTCAGATGACATATTGTGATGAAATGACGCGACGAGCTTGTATTATTGTACTTTGTATGTTTCCTCGAGTCTATTCTTGGTACAGTCTTCTGTCCACATTAAAGCACAAGTACAGATTATCGAAAGCAGTTAACATCGCTGCACACTTTTCAACATCTAACGCTTCTTTTTTTCTTTTAAATACAGGAAACCATGCCTGTCTCTATGTAGCTTGAACTGACGACAGTGCCAATCGAGGCTTGTAGTTAGAGGAGTATTTTAATCAACTGTTACTCGCTGGAAATTTAATGTGAGCTTTTACTTATTTGTACAATGTCCAGAGTCATATAGTTTTAAAATAAGATTAAAAGCACTGATTGTATGACTTGTTTTAAGAAAAAAGAAAAGCAACTTCAACCATGTTTTCATGTTATTTTAGCTCAAAGTTGATGGCGTTTCATATCTGAGAATATCCATTTAAATGGCAGACATATGGTACAGCTCCTTTTGGTACATGCATATTAAGAAACCTGTGGTACTTTTATTAAACACAAAAAAGAAATTGCCTCGTTACTGTTTATTTTTAAATGAATACTGCCTCTGCTTTGTGCTGTAAATATCTTTTTTTTTTGTCGTCGTTATTATTTTTATCATTGCTACAGTATGTAACCTCTTTGCAGAAAAAATCGGTGTCATCTGTTTCCACCCACATCAGAATATTACAGCGTTACAGTATCTCCAGCTTCGGGTTTGTGTTTCATTAGATATGCTGGAGCTCGCCCGTGGTTTCACACAAGTGTGGCCGGCCTGCTCTGACTGCTATCGGATTAATAAATTATATACATTTGAAATGCTGTTGTATCTCCCATCTCCCAGTGTTGCTACTGTGAAAGAGGATTTTAAATGCCACCCCCC